CCCCCCCCCCCCCCCCCGGAAAAAGACGAAACGCAACGAAATAAGCGCAAGAAAACTAAGTATTATAATGACCTTCTTAAGACGGCCATCTTTGTCCTTGTCGCGGTCGTTCACGAAGTTTTTTCGCTCGGATTTAATGAGCTCTTCTTTATCTTTGCCATCTTTGACTCGATTGTGCTTGAGAATGTCGGCTARGGAAAGCAGCAGAGCAAAATATATTTATTTAGATATATTACTAATAATAATTTTACGCAAAATTTATCTTCATAACAGCTTTATAACAGCCTGTAGTCAAGTAGAACAGTTTTTGAAAAGCCACGGCACGGTCACGACGCAGAATAAATATGACCATTTAACCAATCACAGCGCGCGAGATCACTACCCAGCCAATTAAAATGCTCGTACACGGTAACGTCACGGTCACGGTACATCACTTGTTTCMCGGCTATTTCCCTCCCGCCCTTCCTGTGTTTTTTTCTTTCTTTCTTTTTCTTTCTAAAGCATACCAGATTATTTCTTTCTTTGTTTCTAAAACATTTCAAAGAACAACATCTTCATCTCTTACCAATGTTCTCATTCCTTTCTTCCTTCCTTTTTTCTTTCTTTCTTCTTTCTAAAACATACCATATTCTTTCTTTCTTTCTTTCTTTCTTTCTTTCTTTCTTTCTTCTTCTATCTAAAACATACCATATTCTTTCTTTCTTTGATCTAAAACATACCAAAAAACGACATCGAGAATCCCTTACCAATGTACTCATCCAGGGACACATATCCATCTTTATCAGTATCCAGTTGTTTCATAGTGTCTTCAAGTACAAGGTGCTTCATGTGTGCAAACTGATGTGGGTGGATTACAGCTCCAAACTCGTCTTTTGAGATCTTTTCGTCTTTGTCGACATCGGCGGCTTCCCAGAGCTTTTTGTCGTGGTAAAACCTTTCTTCTTCATCCGCTGTATACGTAAACAACAGGACATTAATGTTAAAAAGAGTCTGAGCATGCTGGACGATTAACACATGAAATCCTGTATTAACCTCTGGGCTGATCTATTCAGGGCGTGGCTAATTCACAGATCAGTGAAACCGTGAAACAACCTCTGGGCTGATCTAAGTCAGGGAATGGCTAACTCACGGATCAAACCCTGAAACAACCTTGGGGCTGATCTATGTCAGGGCATGACTAACTCACGGATCAAACCCTGAAACAATCTCTGGGCTGATCTAAGTCAGGGCACGGCTAACACAGATATAATTGGCATGTCGAATTTTGTACGAACAAAAAAAAAAAACATGAAAACCTGGGAGTTTGAGACCCAACAAACGATTGCCCCCAGAATTCCAGAGAGGTATTTAAAGTACTCACCTGTTACTTCTTCACCAAATACATCCATCTTCCACACCTCCCAGCCGATTGGTGCCTCTGGGTCAGCCTGTGCGTCTGGGTTCATCTTGTCCCCCAAATACTTCAACATGTATGTTTCTCGCTTCTTCAGATGGTTCCACAAACGATCGTTGTCATCGTAGAGCCATCTCTTGCCAGCAAAGCGGATCCATTCGACCAATTCATCCCTGGAAACTTTGCCATCTTTATTTTTATCGATGCGTTCTACAATCAAGCTATCAAAAACAAGATAAAAAGATTTAGCCAATTTCCTCCAGTTTTCCGTGCAATGTCCTCTTATATACCACCATTTTCGTCATCTAGCTGTCAAAATGTCCCGGGGGGGGATACCACCCCAATTTGGATAAGGGTGTGCCGCCAGGACCACAAAACCCTGACCCTATCCCAGACTAAAATGATACCCTACCCCAGACAAAATGTCAAAAAATGATACCCTACCCCAGACCCAAAAGCCGAARAACCATACCCTATAGGGCGGCACATACCCGTATGGCAAATATAGGGGAGTACCCCCCCCCCCCTCCCCGGGCAAAATGTAGTGGATTCACGTATGTTCTCCTATTGCCCTGGCTCTAGACCAATCAGAAAGCGAGAAAATTCACAATAGTGGTAAAAAATATGTAGATAAATAGACAAATAGATAGAGAAATTTGCAAATTATTGTATAAAATACCTAAAAAATCAAAAACAAAAAGTTTTCTATGCAGAATACTATCTGCACATGCACTAAAACGTTCCCCTGATTAACATTCAAAAAAAGAATGTGAACTGTCTTAGCATTCCAGCAAAAATTTGAAAATTATTTACGGGATGAAAAATCTCKCGAAATACTTCGATATATTAGATAATGTCCTTACCCAAGTCTTCTTTTCGATTCCTTAGGAGTAAGTTTGTCGAATGTCTTCTTTTCTGATCCTAGGAAAGCATCGTGGTCGTRCTCTTGATTGTGTTTTCCAGTTGACGAAGAAAAATGCTCTTTATCTGACAGCTTTCCATCATGTACCCGACCTTCCTTGTCGTTTGGTTTCGCTAAAACTACAGTTGAACAGATAAATAAAGCAAGGAAGAGCCCTAGTAGAAGCTTCATAGTCGAGCAAGCTTAGGAGTAAGAACTAGTTACAATATATCTATTGTAAAAATTCACAAACTCGGACTAGGACTCTGATTACCTCGCGTGCCAAATGAATAATGACAGTTGAAGTAAGATTGGAATTCGAATTTATTTATGCTTGAGCCATGTGGTATTTTTTGATTGGCTACTGTTTTATGCGATGATTCTTATTGGTGGATAAGGCCACGTAAGCTTTGTCCAGACAAAGGGGTCTTGTGTCTGTTGGCCTTATCTAAAGCCTTTGTAATATTCAGTCTCCGGACTTCGCTGGATATCAAATGTCTCTCGTCGCGATTCATTTTCTAGAATGTGCTAGAATTCTCTAGAAATTACGTTAATTGCTTCAATTTATTTAGTACCATTGCAAAAGAAAGCTATTCGTAAACTATGAATTATTTGTGCTGACATTTCTGTTTTGCCCTCCCCTCCCCTCCCAACCTTCTACCCCCTCCCCCTCCCCCTCAGGGTTTCGGGTTCAAAACAAAATCCACGTGCATCAGCGGTATTCCCTGTGAGCGACCAAGAAAACAAAATGGCGACGAGTTTCAAGAAAAAATCCTCTCGAGGAAGGTCTGTTTTTATACCCGGAACACGGCCTTCTCTACATAACAACCAACTCCTCGTATCCACTGGTATTCCCTCTATGGATGCTGTAATTGGTAAGTCCGTTTTCTCTAAATGTTATCTTGAAAAACTCGTATTTTTGAGCAAACTCGTGTCCAACTTGTAGAGATTTCGTAGTTCAAATATTTTGGCGCCAAGATAGAAGCTTCTATCAGGTATTTTTAAATTATTATGACAGAAAAAATAGTTACCAATGCTGAAGAAAGCATATTGAAATCAAATAGTGAAAACGTGCTCTTCCCAGCTATGCTAATTAAAAATTTTTCTGTACTGTTAGTTGGGGAAATATTTAGCTTGCAGGATAAAAACTCATTGAAGGCATTTTTTATCGTTTAAGGAGGAGGAGTTGCTGTTGGTACCGTAGTTATGATTGGTAGGTACACTGAAAGCTAATTTATAAAAGTTTTATCTTCATAGTATGGTCATTAGTTGATGTTGATAAAGTCAAACACCTCCCCACCCTCCCATGCCTTCCAACTCAGACATTTGAGTTTTTGAAATTTTTGACAAATTCATGAAATTGTACTACTGCTACTGGGGTCTGTAAGGGGGGTTCTGGATGCCAATTATCCCATCCCATATGTGTCCTGCGACATTTGTAAGTGGCAACTAAATTTGACATATTCAAGGCATTAATTTTAATTTTGATTTTGTTTATGAATGTTTTCAGTATTTTCTGAAAAGCAGAAAACGAAATCCAACAACCTGGACCTTGAATTCAGCAATGCTTGAGTCACAGCCTATGCCAATATCTCAAATTACATAAAATTTTTTTTAAAGTTTCTCAGATCCAGATCCCAATTCCCGTAAATTCGCTGTACCCTTCCACACCCTGTGAACTACAGTATGCCACTCTTGTTACTCATTACCTCAAACTGCTATTTCTTCAGAGGAAGACAATTATGGTTCATATGCCAGACAGATTTTAAAGTATTTCCTGGCCGAAGGTGTGGTATCTGGTCATGGTTTGTTCCTGGCATCAGCCGATATTGATCCTCAAACTATTCTAAAGGTAAATTACTTGATCTTCAAACGACCTTTATTGTTTGATAATTTACATTTTCAATATTGCTCAAATATTTAAATATTGCTAAATATTCTTTGTTGCTCAGGGTTAGCCTACCTTTTTTTTTTATACGATGTTCATAATGTTCACACGTTCCTGTGAAGATCTTTAGAAATTCACAGTATTTGAATAGACCCCTTGCATATGATGTCAAAGCAGCTCGATCTGGGGGACAAAACAAAAGAATTCTAATCTCCTGAGAATTGGAACCTATTGTTTTGTCCCCAAGATTAAGCTGCATTCCAAAGTGCTGTAAGGAGTCTGTTGAAGTTGTGCTTTCTTTACAAGTACTGTAGTTTGCTGGAGGTATTCGTTGGTTGTCTTATGGGAAAAAACATTAGTTTTATTGGACCCTGAAGTCACTTGACAGTTGCTTTTTTCCATTTCTAAAGTTCTTTCTTTTTGCACAACTACTTAGCCTAAGGGGGTGGGGCCAAGTGAATGCTTAGGGGAAGCCCCCACTTTGCGTTTACCATGTAAACTGATGTATAAATAGTGTTAACACAATCTTTTGCTTTCAGGATTTGCCACACCCATTAGATCATGGGGATGATAATACAGACTCAACAAACCAGGAAGATACCATGAAAATTGCTTGGAGATATCAGCAGAAAAGCAAAGTGCAGGTTGGTGTTATCATTTTATCTCTCACGACCTCTCACGACAGCAAGTATGATGTGTATCATGATATTGACTGGCCATTATATTAAACCCCCTCTAAAGTCTCTAAAAGCATTTCTTTATGCACGTTTTTCAGTCTAATCCCTCACACAATAGATTTGGTCATTATTATGACTTAAGCAGAGTAATGGATGAAAAGAAACTTGATACTATCCCAGTAAGGATGTTCAATGCTGCAGAAGAATGCACTTCAGATAGCCCAAAAAACAGGTAAATAAATGGCTGTTATCTACTAGGACAGTATATAGATTCCTATTTAGATTAGCATGGGTGGCATTCACAGCTAACGTGTCCTCTTTCACCACTGTGAGACCAAGGATAGGGTCTCTGGTTCAAGCTCTGCGGTCACCACATGTAAATTGAGTTTGTTTGATGTGTTGTTCTTTCCTGTGCTATGAGGGTTTTCTCTTGGTTCTCCAGTTTCCTCCCTCTGTAAAAATCAACATGTGAGCTGAGAGTTGTGTGCATAGGAATATTAAATGTAGTGGTAGTGTGTGTGAGCGAAGAGTGTCCCCAATTGCGAAAGTGCTGGAATGACTAGACAATTAAATAAAAAGTAATTTTTTTACATTACTCTTTATTCATATTCACAACATGCCTTAGGTGTATGGCTAGCTAATCCACTCCCTGGGAATCTGCCCTTTGTAATTTATATTATATTTTGCAATGTATACTATTACTACAATAAAGATAACATACATCTAGGTAATGGGCATAATGTTTTGAATATTCAGACCATGTGTCATTCCCTAGAGTATCATTTCTTTGTTTAACAGTTATGCATGAGAAGACACATGAATATGGATACAACTCAAACAAAGAATCTTATTCTCAAGACCATGTGTCATTCCCTAGAGTATCATTTCTTCGTTGAATGGTTGTGCATGAGAAGACACATGGATATGGATACAACTCAAACAAAGAATCTTATTCTCAAGACCATGTGTCATTCCCTAGAGTATCATTTCTTTGTTTAATGGCTGCTCATGAGAAAATACATGAATATGGATACAACTCGAACAAAGAATAATTTTCTCTTGAGAAAATATGTGGTCTGAAATGCGAAAACGTTATGCCCAAGGTAAAGAGGTCTATTAGTTGTAAATTGTTTCATTCTATCATATTTTTCTAATCCAGGGACTAATACTGTCATTAATAGTACAGTACTTGAAGTGTTTGTTTCTGACTTCAATTTTTTGATTTTTCTCAGTGTACCATTAATAATTCCGTTATTATAAGTATTTTTGTATTTCTATTGGCAGTAGAAGTAATAGTCTCTATGAGAAATTACTATCAGAGGTCAATAGCACCATCACAGATGGAGGATACAGTACAACAGCTGCAAAGGTACATCAGTTTTTTTATTCTTTAGCAATTTATTACAGTAGCTTTAGCAGTTATATCACAGTGTGGAACAATCACGACAGAGCCCTTAGCACCATACCTAAAAGCCCAAAGATTGAATTAGAATTTAGAAGTTGATTTTTAAGTAGGGGAAACCAGAGAACCTGGAGAAAAACCCTTGAAGTACAGGATATAACCAACAAGTTACTCTTCTCAAAGAGCACAGGAATTGAACTTGTTTCGCATTGGTGAGAAGTGGTGCATTAGGAATGCACACCACTCGCATGCTTCAAAAATAATATTATTCTCAAATTGATTGAATCCTTTAAACTACCTTAATTTGTGTTCAATCAATCAATCAATCAATTTATTTTCTACCAGTTTTAAGTTTTACAGACTAAAATATATGATACAAATTATTGAAAACAGAAAATTTTGTAGTAGCTGTAATAGCTGGGGGCTAGACAAGACAGCTTTTTATCTTATTTACAATAAATACATTAGGAGGGAATAATAAATGGAAAAAAATATGGAATAGATAAATAATAAAGAAAGAGAAATATAGAGTACAATGTGTTGATGTAAATCAGGACTTAGGAGGTCAAACCCCTGATGTGTTTGATAAGTATTCTTCTGTGGCTGGTTAGAAAAAAATCCCAAATCACTATTTGTGAAGTTTATTTCATTGATGGTTTGTCAAATTTTATATCACGAGGAAAGGGAAGGAGAAATAAATAATCTTATTTTAAAATATTTTTATTATCACAGCAGCAACAAGAACGTAGCATACTTAGGATAGCTATCCACAGCCTTGGCTCACAGCTGTGGGGTGAAGAATGTGGAGCGACCTGCGTTGACTTTAGTCCAGCATTGCCATGGTTTCTCTACTCCCTTAGAGCCACCTTAAGATCGTCATTAGTTGTCTGTATGGTCACCATACCAACACATGTTTTTCAGGTAATTTATATTTCAATTTCTTTTTTTTTGCTTTGTTACCAATATAGATTTTTGATTGCATTCCATTGTAATTAACAATTATTCGCTGAAGGTGAAATGATTATAGTGGACATTTAATGAGCTGCAAGTCTTTGTGCAGCAAGGTAAATATTCACCATAATCACTGAGCCTGAGGTGGATAATTGTTTTAGTATAATTTTAAATTTGAATATCAGAGAAAAGAAGAAATTCAGGTTTAAAAAAACAACTTAGTATTACTTCCTCTCCATGGCAAAATTTGGAAAACCTCATTATTAACTGCTCGAGCAGTGATTATCATCTCATAGTCACTGGTCGGTCAAGCAATCACAGCGTGAGAAACTCTATATTCAAGTCTTAAATAATACTAATATTCATTATTTTATTTTTATTCCTTTTTAATTGGTTCTCTTAGGATTCTGGGTTTACACATCGGATAGAGAGATTGTGTGATACTGTGCTAGCGCTTGAATCCTTTGCCGGCTCTGACAAAGAAACCAATCCACTTTATAGAGATTATCATGGTATGTTTGACTTGTATTTGAGATAAATATGTCCCATAAGAATGGTTATCGTTATCGAGTGTAAACATACAGCACTGACTCACAGCACCTACATGGTAAGACATGCCATAACAGAATTGGCTTCCCATAGGAATAGTAAATCATATGCCAAATTCGTAGTCATATTGTATCTATATTGTATCTATGCCGTATTGTATCTATGCCGTGCTGTGCCGTGCCGTGCCGTGCCAATATGCAATTGGATGACTAACATGTAAAGATGGGAAACCATGTTGGTGTTATTGTGATTTGGGTATGTATGTTGATGTGAGGTCATCTCATTGCTTTCTGTACGTTTAGGTACAGCTACATTAAGATAAGATACAGCTACAGTATGGTTAAAAGGTTACCATATCATTTCCCACTCATCTGAACATTGCTGTATTTGTTGTCATAACAGGTTTATTCAACATTGTTCGTCTACCTCGTCTGAACACTTTAACAACTCACATGCCAGACAGTCTGGATCTCGCCTTCAAACTCAAAAGAAAGAAGTTCTCTATTGAGGTAAATATATTCCGACAACTTGCCTGTCAGCTGAAACAATCACTCAATCTGATGATCTGTGCCAAGAGGAAATGACCTAAGAGAAGAAATCTCCATTCCTCATCATGAGCACTCTTTGATGCTATTTTTAGAATCATTGATGCTATATTTAGAATCATTGATGCTATATTTAGAATCATTGATGCTATATTTAGAATCATTGATGCTATTTTTAGAATCATTGATGCCATTTTTAGAACTATTGATGCTATTTTTAGAATCATTGATGCTATTTTTAGGATCATTGATGCTATTTTTAGAATCATYGATGCTATCCATCATCCCCTGTACTCAATTGATTGCCTTGCTTTCTTTGCCAGACCCTGCATCTTCCTCCTGACTTGTCTGAATCAGTAAGTAGGAATCAAGAAGAAGCAATCCGTCCCAAACCAGGTGCTTTAGCGTGTCAAACCGGATCAGGAAACAGTAAACTGGACTTCTAAACCATGAGAAATATAGGCTAGTAACAACTGTAAGTACGTTGCTTTTCAATTTTTACTACTGTTTATGACGTCACTTCGACGAATATGTGATGTGACGTCACTTATACGAAGGAATATGTTTTTGTTGAAAAAATTTGGCATCATATTTTGTAGTATGATGTCATAAGTTGACATCGCCAGATACGGCATGACGTCATCATACAATATGGACGTCGACGTCGACTTATATTGTATGACGTCATCATGGCATGATTTTTTATGCAGTGACGATCTTACATGTACGTCGTCATATCAAGTTGACACATGCTTGCTATTTGTGATGATGTCACTATTATGTGTTTAAGATGACGTCATAAGACACAATTTAAAGTGCCTTTTAAAGGTACTAAAATACGTTAAAAACGTAATGTAGTGATGTCACCTGAAGACGTCACTGATATGCTCTATGACGTAATTATTACGTCACAAATTGCTATAAATAATAATCAAAAAAATATTCGAGCTAATAATGACGTAAGTGAAATTCAATTCCAAATTTTAACGAGGCAAACCAATGCCCAAGCAATTCTTTCACGATGAGGTTCTCTGCTATGTCATTCTTCGTGGCTTACAATATCTTTCTACATTACGTTTCCGAAATATAGAATTTTCATCTTTTTGCTCAAGAGAAGTTTCGCATCCTAACGTCTTGCTTTTGAGACTTTTCTTCATTCATCTTCCTTTGATAAACCTTGACTCGTATAAATTTAAATGTTCAACATAGTTGAAAGATTATTGGTGTCGAATAAGAGAGGCGTTGAATGCTTTGTTTCTTGTGGCCTGTTTCGCAAAGGTGGTCGCGTTAGAGAGGTGGTCGCATTAGAGAGGGGGYCGTATTTGCCAAGTCCTTTTTCGCATGACTGTTCAAAATTGCAATCCAAAATAATGCTCATTTTTGTATCGCAGAGGTAGTCGAAATACACAGGTGGTCGTATTACGAAGTTGCTCCTTCGAAACTATTGATATTAAGACAAAGAATGAAAAGGTCACAAAAAGTTGTCGAAACAGACATGTGCTCGTATTAAAAAGGTGCTTATTCGAAACTTAACTTGGTCAACATCAGCATCAGCACCACCATCATCATCGTCATCATCATCACCATCATAGTCATCATCATCAGCACCATCAACGTCTTTTTCAGTTTCATCATCTTCACCATCATCTTCATCATCACCATCATCATTGTCATCATCGTCATCATCATCATCACCATCATCGTCGTCATTATCAGCACCATCAACGTCTTTCAGTTTCATCAGCTTCATCATCATCTTCATCATTACCATTATCTTCCACATCAGATGTTACATTATAATCAGCATAAAACAGACGTTTCTCCGTTCTTGATGGACTTTAAATAAATCATTTACGAAGTTACCTCTTATATATTTGCGTTGGATTCAGCGCATGTGGGGCTCGGTGTAAAGGCTGGGTCTAACTAGGAAAATAAATTTTRATGTATATATATTTTAACATCTTCATATAATTCTTGATTATTTTACCACATATTTTTATTGTTTAATAGTAATTTATAAAGCGCCATTGGACAGAAATGGGAATAGCGCTATATAAGAATAAAGTTATTA